GACAGCCTGAAGCAAAAACGGGCGAAGTGTAGCGAGTTCGGTGTGCAGCACAATATTCAGTTGATCCAGATTATTCTTGATATCGTCCAGAAGTGCGCCATATTCTGCTGCAGATTTCGGAAGTTGTCTAGCAATCACCTATAATACAATTGTTTAAACAGTCTCACTAAAAAAACATTTTTAAAACTGAACATTAAAATCATAACAAATATGATAACATTTCAATTATGACGACAATTCCCGAAAAAAAAAATTTGAAAAGTGCGTGAAAAACAGTATTTCTGAAAAACTAAAGGATAAAGTAAATTATTTTTTTTTGATATTTTAGTAAGCTATTCTCGCATTACCAAACGTCGTCAAGGCACTGCTTTAGCAGACAATTTCTTCATACTTCTCTACTTTGAGCTTCTCTCATTCGAATCATTCAAATCAAACACTCAAATGGATTTTCCTTCGCATCGACAGCATCCCCCGTGTTCAATTAACGATTGCGTCAGTACCATTCGTCAACTGCTACTTTTCATTTTCGCCAAATGACCAGTGCAACTCCCCTCCTTCACTTATACTTTTTCGATAATACAGATTGCACCAGACTGGATCCTCAGTGTTTTAACGAGGATGCATTAAATTGCTAACGCCTATCATGCGTCGTCCCAGGGCTCGTTTATTCAACGCTAATTTTTTACGAGATTTGTGCTGTAATACTTACACAAAACGCATGATTGCCCCAACCACACTGGTGCGCGTCGCTGTTTATTCTCCATTAGCAAGAATACGTTCTCAGACAATGTTGAGTTAGTGTTCAGAAAAACAATCACAAAGATTGGCGAAGGTTATCCGTCCTGTTCGTTTTTTTACCAAACCACAATTACAAGACGCTATTTAAATGCACTGCTTGTTCCAAGCAAGTATAGCTGCTCACAAATTCAACAAATTGGTTCTCCTATTTTATATCACATCAGAAGCAGTACGTCTTCCACATCTACTTGATTTTCCTTCCGCGAATCTGTAGACCGATTCTGACTGCATTGGTTGTAAGCCCATTTAACATTTTTTAAATAATTGGCCAACGCACGGGCTGCCCGTGCGAAGATGCGTTTTTTGCATAATTCCCCGCAGTTTTTGTTGCTTCAGGCACCGGCTTTTTCGGCAAATGCTTCTAGCTAAACAAATTAAGACTGGCCGCCAGAACTGTCA